GGGTTTGAGAATATTAAAAACAATGTATTTTTAAATTTTTATGATAGAATAATGAAAAAACATGTGAAAGCCTTAACTCTCCTTGTTCTTGTTCAGCACAAAAAATGCAGAATCCATAACCTAAATCCTAACCTAAACCACTGTCTCTCTTTTTTTTTTTTTTTTTTTTTTTTCCTTCATAATTATTACGAGTCGCACTAGTTTAGAAAATAATTAATCACAGGTCAATGTAGTACTTGATCGGTACAATATCACAATAGCCAATAATATTGGAAAGAGGAAAATTGGTAACCACAAGACGTATGTCTCCTCAACTACAATAAATAGAGACAAAGAGAGTTTGAATGTTTATGTAACTATAGATTCTCAAGAGTTCCTAAACGGGAAACCAGTAAAAAAAACAAAATATTAATTGGTTTTCTAATCCTCGAGCTAGCTATATCTTGAATATCAAACTATAATTGATTAACTCTCAATTTTGGATTATTAATAAGTCTTCATTTCCTTCTTCAAGGTTGAATCTGAATTGTTAGTAAAACTAGTGCTAAAGAATCACAGGCCATCCTTGAGAGTATAGGAATTTAAATTAGGCTCTTTAATAAAACATATAAAAAAAAATTATTTGGGATAATCGAGGTGTTCAAGCCAATTTGCAGATAATGGAATATTCAAGCCAGCTTGCACGTATCTCAACTAATTTCAGAGATTCATTGAACATCACAAACTCAAAAGATCAGTTATAACACAATGTTATTGTAGTAAATGACCTCAAGTTTAAACCCAAAAACTCAGAAAAAAAAAAAAATTTTCATTAACCACCAGGCGACCCTGGAGTTAACATTGAAAGTTCGTATAAAAATTGAATTTCATGAGTAATGTTATGGAGAAATTGCTCTACATATAAGAATTTCAAATTATAATAAATTTCCTCATTGAACTCTAACCCATATGAAATCTTGCCAATCTTTTCATCGGAATATAACACCCAATTCCGACTAAATTAGTGCTAGCTAACAGAAAGATTATCAATATAACCATTAAAATATATAGAGCAAGTTGAGACACCCTTTGTCAATATTTTGTTCACGTATAAGAGTTCACATGCTGCCTCCCTGAACAACAATTTTAAACACCACTGCCTCATCAAACTAATTAATTCCCATTAGAAAATCAACCCAATGCACACCCGTGACGGTTAACAGCCATAGAAATGTCAATTCTGCCATCTCTCTCTTTCACGAGCGTGCATGGTTAATCTGTGCCCATTGAAAACAGCAACATAACATCCAATGCTCAATTCATTCTCTATATAAACAATTCGGATCCCTCTCCAAGTACACCAAGCAATAACAACCAAAAGACTAGCAAATATCAAGGAGAGCTTCTTGGAGAGATCATAATATGGAAGCATACACAAAGCTGTAATTGTGGGAGTGGTTTCGGTTTGGCGATTGGGTCCATGCCTTTGCGATGGAGAAGAAGAGTGATAACTGAGGCATTTGTGGTATGACCAAGGAAGGTCTCACGGCGTGGTGCGCCATTTGTCACCACCCAGAGCACCGCGCCTCCTTCGCCGGAGTGTTGCTCGGCGCTATCCAAGGCTAACTTCCAATGCTTCTGCGGGTTCAAGATCGGGTTGTTAGGTTTTTAGGGATAGACTTCAACCAAGCCATGCAGCTTCCTACTAAATGCAAGTCCCCAACTCTTCCCATTGCTAATTAGATGTTTGCATCTTGCAAACACAAAAAATTAATGTTTTATTTTCTTCTTGCTTGTGTTCTTGAGTTTGAAGGTGATCAAGTTGACCCCTTGAGGGTCAATCATTGTTTTACTTTCATCTTATTTTGTGTCGCTCCACTACTGTTCAACTAATAACATATATACCAAGAACTTTGGTTATTAAAGTGTATGTTCATTGCTTTTATATTTATTTTTTAACAGTTTAAAAAACGAAAATTAGCAACCATCTATATAATTAAAACATAGTTTGAACACTCAACAATTTTATTCTTTTATTTTGTAAGAATCAAATTAATGTGAAAGTTAATTATATCCTAGCTATAATGTGAAAGCATGAAATATAAAAATGGATTGGATATTTTTTTTCAAACAAGGGAATTGTAGAGCAAAACGTCGCCTTGAGGCTTATATGATTACACTGGTTCTTGGTCATTATGGGCTAAATTATGGACGTGCATTGTTCCATTGATATTGTAAATTCTTAGCTTCACGAGTTGTTTATATATTGAAGGAAACTATTGCATTCATACTGTAAGCACATGTTTTTTGCTTGTGGAGAGTTTCTAATAGACTGAGAAATATCAGACAAAGGGCATCAAAATATCACAGTCTGAAATAAAAAATAGATTTGGAGACAATATTGATGATCTTTAGGGAAGCTGACAAAAAAATATTATATACAGACTTTTTACTAATTAATTCATAAAAATTGATTGTTAAACTATAATTGAATGACATAAAATTAAAATTAAAACATATTAAAATAAATGGTTTGTCAAACATGCACATTTATCATTTCAATCTAAAAGAATAGTTTATGAGTAATATATTATATATAATATTACTCATGAATCAAACACTTCCTAAATCTAAGTGAGCAAATTTAACTATTACTTTCAATTTAATATTATATATATTATATTATTTTCAGTCAAGATGTCTTGATATTAACATACCATGATATATACCATAGATCTTAATGTAAAATATATTTCAATCCCATGAGACAAATTCAATGGTGTGTATAAACATGATCTGATAAGTATATCAGGACGTCCCAACCAAAGAATTATTATATATATATATAAAACTCTTGCAAATTATAAACAGTAATGTTAGGTTACAATCCAACCTCATAATCTTTACATGATAACCGCAATTGGTCAACTTCCAAATAGACAAACGAGATCATACATATACAGAGTAAAGAAGTTGTGACTTGTGAACTATCATTACTCAATTATAAATTTGTAATTGAAGATTAAATGTGAAAATATTTGTAATTAGAAACAGGCCAGATGGGGTAGATCCGACGGCTCACATTTATTTGGGCCGACCCAATACTAAACCCACCTAATTCATTGCCCCTATTTATAATAAATGGAAAAATGAAAACAAAATGGTAAAATCGTCCCTCGTCCTAAATCCTTTAGCAAGCTATGTCAGATTACCATACAAAATGCTCTGCAATCTGTCGTTCTCTTTACAGAGTACAAAATCTTTCTCCGCCGTACACACCACCACAAGCCACCGCCACTACTACCGCCGTCTATTCGAGACCTTTTATCTCTCAGCTCTCATTTGTTCATTCTCTATATCTCAAAGATCCCTCAATCTGGGTTCGAAGTTCTCAGGTACCTGTGTTCTTATTTGCCCAATACATTTACATGTTTATTATATAAAATGGGTTTGAGCTTCTCACTTAGAATTGGGGGAAACTTTCTTACCTTGTAATCTTCATGTTTGCCAAAACCTTAAGCTTGCTAAGTGTTTGAACAAAGTTCTCACAATTTTGAGCGTAAATGAGGGGTTTTGGGTTAGATTAGTCCAGATTTTAAGTTTGTTGACTTTTTTGAGGTATACGAAAAAAATGGAGATGGGTTTATATCTGTGAAGAGAACTTTGCAGGAGATTATTTCCTTAATTGTTGCGTTTTGACTTGAATATGTAACAGTTACAGTGAGATGGGTTAGATTTAGGACTATAACGAAGTACTTTATGAATGCCGAAAGTGATTCAGGTTCTTTCTCTCTTTTTTTATTGATTGAGAAATTATGTTTTTTTCAAAAGTTTAATAGACGGTCGATCAACGGTGTGATATATATGGGGTTGGAGTTTGTCACTCTGGGAAAAAATTTGATGCCTTTTTTTGTTTTGTTTTGTTTTGATTTAGAGTATCGAGAATTCTTCAGTCAGCCACTCTGTAATGTTGAATTTCAAATGAGGTGTAACTGCTCGAAAACCAATTTGCTTCTGCTCTTCAAATTGCGAGATTCATCCTTGAAGCTGGTCTAGTAGGCAAAGCCATTCTTTCTCATATCAATAATTATTGTGACCTTCACACAAAATAGACTATGAAGTCGGAAATGCGAGGAAAAAATGTAGTTGATAATTTTATTAGCAGCAGCCAATAAAGTTTTCTAAGTTAAATTTGAACACAAATCCCCTTGCAGGTAGTGTCCAACTGTTGAGACCTAGACCTCAACGCAACGCCACTCAAGGATTGTAATTCGGAACTCAAATCACAGTTCAATCTCAAACAGAACAGAAATAAAACAGGACTTATAGAATTATTGTGTTTTGATTGCTGGACTGGAAAAGAAATACATATAGTAATGGGTATGTAAAACCAGTATGGTAAAACAACGCTGGCTAGCTCTTCTGAGGGGCTAGTTCCTCCCTAAATTCTTATTCACAAAACAACCGCCTTTTACAAGAAATTCCCATAATTATAATCTGCAAGTCACACACAGCTGATGCCCTGCAGATGCCACAGCAAAACTCCCCATGGTGCACACCTGCTGATGGCCTTCTTGTTAAGCAGATTCCTGCCACGTGGGTAACTAATCCCCATTGCGCGCACCGCTCGACTGGCTCTTGTTCCTTTTGTAAACGTGGAGTAGTAGGGGCGTACACCCAAACTAACCATGAGTCAACATAAAGGCAAGTTTTGTTCTAATTATCGAATGTGGATTGAAATAAAAATTATAGATTAAAATCTTTGTAATTAAATTAATTATAATTGTTTAAAATCCGAAATGTAGAAAGACTTAAAATCCATTTTTAACTAAATGTTTTTGTAGTTAAAATTTTATTAATCTTAGTTAACATATAGTGTTTCATTTTCAGAGTACAGATTGTTTTTTCTTCATTTTTTATTATTAATTTTATCTCATTGTTTTAATTAACCTATACATTATTTTGTGTTGCTTCTATTAAGTTGTTATCAATGTTAATTTTTTTTCTTTCTGTAATTACAGCTGCTAATGGTTCTGTTGTTAATTTAGCTCAGCCATCAGAATAACTGAAGTCCAAATATGCAAACAGCTTCACATTGTTACTCAGTATTTTACCTTTCAAACAGGTCTATCTTTATTTTCTATTTTCTTTACTTTATTTGTTTTAGATGCCAATTAAAAATAATTTAAATGGAGATTTTGCTCATTTGCTGTAAATGATAATGCAGAAGAAGTTGTGTAAAACACAATGGGTTTATGAAGATTAATATCCCGAATACGGGTTCACTGCGATTAAATGCAAGAGTTTCGTCTTGTAAATTTCAAGGACCTGCTCGAGGGATAAGATTATTTGCAATTCCGAACTCTGATGACGGTCACCTGACTAGTGCAATGCTGGAAGAAGATACAACTATGAACAAAGTGCAGAATTCGGAAGCAAATTCCTTCTTGAGCAATTGGTCGCCTCCCCGGTACCTTTGGAGGGGATTATCAGTTCTTGTGTTGGCAGGCCAGGTAATAACTAGGATTATAAAAGGGAAAGTGCACTGGAGAAACACTCTCCAGCAGCTCGAGAGAGTTGGCCCACGATCTGTTGGGGTCTGTCTTTTGACGGCAGCTTTTGTTGGTATGGCATTTACTATCCAATTTGTTAGGGAATTTACTAGATTGGGTTTGAATAGATCTGTGGGTGGCGTCTTAGCTCTGGCATTTTCAAGGGAGCTTAGTCCTGTAGTGACATCAATTGTGGTTGCTGGGAGAATTGGAAGTGCATTTGCAGCAGAGTTGGGCACAATGCAGGTCTCTGAGCAAACTGACACGCTTAGAGTTCTTGGTTCCGACCCTGTTGATTACTTGGTCACCCCCAGAGTAATTGCTTCCTGTGTTGCGCTACCATTTTTGACATTGATGTGTTTCACTGTGGGGATGGCATCCAGTGCCCTACTTTCTGATGGTGTTTATGGAATTAGCATTAACATTATCTTGGATTCAGCCCACAGAGCACTTAGATCATGGGATATAATCAGTGCAATGATTAAATCACAAGTTTTTGGTGCCATCATATCTATCGTGAGCTGTGCCTGGGGTGTTACCACTTTGGGAGGTGCAAAAGGTGTTGGGGAGTCAACGACTTCAGCTGTTGTTATCTCCCTTGTCGGTATATTTATAGCTGATTTTGCTCTCTCTTATATCTTCTTCCAAGGAGCCGGAGATTCCTTAAAGAATTGTGTTTAATGAGTCATATCCTACTTCTGGTCAATTTCTGATATTTAATTAGAACCTTTGCTATTGGTACTGAAGATAGCAGCACTTATGAAACACAGTCAACCATGAGTTTAAGTAATATAGCTGCTAGCATATAGATTTGACATTTCCCCCACTTTCGGGATGGGGCAAGGCATGTCAATGGAGTGATTCAGAACTGTAGCTGCAGTATAAACTCATTTTATGTATAAAATTAAAAATACAGGGATTCATTGTGGTTGTGGAATTGTTCTGTGCAAAAATTGAGATAATAAGGTTTTCCTCCATGTTATACTTGTCATAGTTTTGAGCTCTAATGCACTTTATTATACCGCAATTTAAATTTCAGTTTCTTACATAAAAATGACTTTTAGGGATAGCTTCCTCTGCAGCTCTAGTTCTAATATTAACTTCCAGAAATGTCTTTGATCAGAATAAATTTGTCTGATTATTGTGCACCGAGTTTGGACGAGGAACTAACCACTGAAATTCTTGAAGTTAGTTATCCAGATTATATGTTGTCTAGCCAAGGATTTCACCCTTTTCTTTTTGGCGCCCACCACAGTTGGTTTTCTTCTTGCTGATCTTTTGCCATTTATGATCCCAGTTGGTTTTTGCTTGTACTTCTTATTTGTTCATTTGTATTTTCACAGCACTGGGATAGAGTTTCAATGAACTGAAATAACTTCTTTTCCCTTCTTGGCTCCCTTTGTCTTCAATTTTGATATGTGGACAAATAGTCAATACATTATACATGCATAACACTCACGGACAACGGAATATTGTTAGCAATAAATGAACGGTTTTTATGCTTATTTTTCTCATTGATCGCAATGCAGCTTATTTTAGGTTGCATAATTTATTTTTACTCAAACCGGAAAACCCACCCGATCCGAACATGAATGGTTCGGTTTGGTTCAGTTTTTACTCTGCAATTGGTTTTCTTAAGTTTTCTTCGGGTTAAGAAAACAAAAGCTGAATTTTAATTGGTTAGGGTCGGGTTGGATTTTGGTTGGGACGAACAGACAAGTGCCCACCCCTAGACTATAAGGGTGATTTTTGAACAATTTTAGAAACATGAGGGTAATTTTGAATAGTAGACCCAAATTCTCAATGTAGCTGTATTTTTCAAAAACCCAGGGGTGGCTTTGGAAAATAAACCTTATGTTATTCATTTGATAATAATTTAAATTATCCCAATAATTATCAATAGTTACAAAAAAATAAATTCATTGGCTCCGTTTGGTTCAAAATTTGGGGGTTTTGGGAAAAGTTCTTTGAAAAAAGTTAAAAAAAAGTTGAATTGGGCGGGTATTACGATGTAGGATTTATAAATTATAAAATACCCTATATATTTATTTTTTTACAAAATACCCCCTATAATAAAACATTAAAAGTTAACAAAAATACCCCTAACCCACCCTCAAACACCCCCAGTCGGCCACCACCACCGGAGGTGGCCGAAGTCACCTTATGGGCGCATGTCCGGCTGGATCTTGCCGGTCATACACCGATATGGCCTTTTCCGGCCAGATCCACGGTGGATCTGGCCGGCAAAGGCTAGATCTACGGCCAGATCTGGCCTTATTTGCTCTCAACGACGGCCAACAAACGGCCGTCGTTGATGGTCAACGATGACCGTTTGTTGGCCGTCGTGACCGACTGTTACGGCCAAAGATCTGGCCATCAACGGCCAGATCTTTGGTCTTAGATCTGGCCTTTTCCTGCCAGATCCACCGTGGATCTGGCCGGAAAAGACTAGATCGGCACACTACCGACCAGATTCAGCCGATAGTGCGCCATCCTACCAGATTCCGACGATTTTCCGGCGGTGGTGGTCGGAATCTGGTAAATGTGGATTATTGGGGTGTTTTTGTAATTTAAAAAAAAATATTTAGGGGTATTTAATTAAATTAACAAATTTAGAGGGTTTAAAAAAAATTGAATAATATTGAAAATAATATTTTTCAATGTCAATCGATCAATCAATCAATTTAGGCTTACAGTGTCCCCTTTTTTTTTTTTTTTTTTGGGGGGGGGGGGGGGGGGGTAAGGTTTAGGCTTACAGTGTGACTGATAAAGATCTATTACATAACCCGAGAAATCAAATAAAAAACTTAAAACAAATTTCAAATGAAATAGGTAAATTGAAAAAAAATAAAAAAACAGAAATTTATATAACTGAAAATTGAAAAACATGTACAATATGAAGAAAATTATATTTGTATTGTTTATATGTCATATCTATAATGAGAAATGATAATTGAGCTGATTTTAATGTTTTAATTTATTAATATTAATCTAGAATTTATTTTAAAATTAAAGATCTATCTATATCAAACTTATAATTTAATCTTTTAAAAAGAGAAAAAAAAAAAAAAAACTAATGATCCTGTCAAAGAACAAAATGGAGAAGTCAATATAAATAAAATCTTCTTAATAAGCTTAGAAAAGCAAATAATCAAAAGAAAATTAGTTATTTGGAAAGGAGGAAGGAGAACTGCAATAAATTTCTTCAAAGTTGTCTTTCATACGATAAATAAGCATGGAGCTTGAAATTTGGAATGATCACCTTACCCTAAAATACTTATCCAAAATATTCAAATAAAAACAAGATTATAATGCCTCATTAATAATTAATAAAATTAAAATATAAATCTTAGTCGTATGTATTAATTAATATGAACACAAATTGATAGTTTGACAGTTTGCTTGGGACTCTTAAGTGTATTACTCAAAAGGTCTTGAGTTTGAATCTTCACGACTACTAATAAGGGGCAGCCACTGAGAGGATTTATCGGACCTTTAATTTTAGGACCCCAAGAGATTAGTTGAAATGTCTGTAAACTAGTCCGAATAACCCTCGTTAAAGAAAAACAAAAATTATAATTTAACTTCTAAAAAGATTATATTAATTTTTTTTTATAACAAATTCTATATTACAAGAAAAATAGTAAACATTATATCATGTATAAATATGATTTTTCCACATCAGTTCTTGACAAGAAAATAATTTATAAATAAATATAATATTTATATAACTTTGAACTCTACAACCATCTGTTTGCACTCTGTAGATCGAGAGAGAGCCAGAATTTTTCAGAAACTTTTTTATTACGAACAATAGCTTCTACCATCACAATAAATTTTTTAACAAAACAGTTATAACTCGTAAAATGTGCAAGACTTTATGCACAAATAGTATTCTTCTAAGTGGTTGTCTTATTATTGAAGCACATATTAGAAGAGAGTGTTGATTTTTTTATTGCCCTAGCTTACTCACTCTCCTCTTCTTTCTCCATCTCGAAAACATAATTTAATTCTTTTTTCTTTTTCTTTTTTATCGCGAGTGTCTGAGCCAGTTTGTGCATACCTCAAATAATCTCTTGGGGTCTGATGTTGACAATTCGGTAAATCTCCTCTGTAACTAACCCTATTAGCAACTCAGATAAATTGAACTTAGGACCTCTTGAATTATACACCCAAGAGACCTAGTTGACTGCTGGACCACCCAATGGTGGTTAACATGGTTTAATTCAACATTGCACAAGTTCATTCAAATTTATTAAAAAATGTGACCTAAAATTAATTTATGTTTTTTAATTAAATCATTTTTTTTTAAATGAGTAACGATTAAACTAAAACTAATCGCACATTACTTAATTAAACATCCAAAATCACTTGAAAATCAAACAAAAAGTTCAAATCTAAAATTTGAAGTTGCAAAAGTGTGAGGACATTACATTTTTACTTTGAGAAGATTGAATAAATGGTCCTTTATATCATATTAAATAAAATTAATTATTTTTTATTTTCTTCCATTTTAAAAAAGGTTTAAGTAAAATTTCTCATTCAATTACTGAACTTATTAATGGCACAGCCGAATCTCAACAAACTGATAAAGATCAAGATCGATTCAAACATGAAGATACAGATAAACATTTACGGGAGTAAATCTAGGAACTAACAAACTATCTGTAAATTTAAATATTTTCAAATGCTGTAACAGATTGAGCTTATCCAAAATCATCTATAAATAAAACAACATGTGATCCTCCTGGATGAGAGAGGAAAAATTTTCTACCGTCTGTCTTGTTTGATTCTTTATGGTATCAGAGCCACAAAGACTTGCGTCTCTCATCCATGGCTTCCAATGAATCTTTTACTAACGATTCCTCTTCCTCTGTTGCTACCAGTTCCATTCTCCCCACCCAACTTCATCATTTCATCACAATCAAACTCACCAAAGATAACTATCTTCTTTGGTGAGCTCAATTAATCCCATACCTCCGTGGTCAAAACCTATTTGGTTACCTAGATGGCTCCATTCCCTGCCCACCCATCACAATTCCTTCCTCTACCAACACTTCCATACATATCCCTAACCCGAATACATTCACTGGTCACAACAAGATCAAATCATTCTAAGCGCCATACTCTCTTCCCTCACCGAATCACTTCTCACCCAAATTATTGGTCTTACAACTTCTAGAGATGTTTGGCTTGCATTAGAGAAAACATTCTCATCCACTTCCTCTGCCCGAATCCTCAGCATTCGTTTCCAGCTTTCAACCCTTAAAAAGGCCTCCCTCACAATCACTGATTACTTCACCAAAGTCAAACACCTTTCAGATACTCTCTCTACCATAAGTCATCCCCTTAGCTCTTCAGAAATCACCTCATATCTCCTTGCTAGTCTCCCCTCCTCATATGACTCACTTGTTACTGTGATTACCACCAGATTAGATCCCATCTCCCTTGATGACCTATATGGCTGCCTACTTACTCATGAAAACCGCCTTGAGCAACAAACAACCTCCAATGAATTCAACTTACCCTCAGCCAATATTGCTACCTCCTACTATAGTCGAGGTCATCGTGGTTCACCTTCAAATAGAGGTGCTCCCCACTATGGCAATCGATCTAGAGGTAGGGGGCATGGATTCGAGAATTATTCCCATCACCAAATGTCACAATCAAACAAACCTCCATGTCAAATCTGCTCCAAAATTGGCCATACAGCTACCACTTGTTGGTATAGATTCAACCAACAATTTCAGTCTCCCTCCACACCCCATCCTCAAGTAAACATAGCTCAATCACACATACCTCCCACCCCTTCTCCTACACCCAAATATGATCAAAACTAGTACCCTGACACTGGTGCCACCAATCACATTACCTCAAACCTTAATAATCTTTCCCTCAATACCGATATCTACACTGGACCTGATCAAATTCAAGTGGGCAATGGACAAGGTTTGAAAATTCTTCACACTAGTTCTTCTCTTCTTTATTCAGC